ATGCACAGAGTTCAAACTCAAAAGCGATTTATCAGTTGAAAATGTTCCCTCGTTAGACTAATCAACTATATTCTCATAGCAATAATCCATTACTCATAGCTTACAGTGATTTTTGAATAATAAATCACAATTTGAAAATGTCCTTTTACAAATGAAAAATGAAGCAAACGGTAAAAAGCGTCATCGCGTTACCAAAATTCATCATAAAATGGGATTTTTTTCTGACAATGATATGTGCATAAGATAGCCCATAAAAACCTAGCTTTAGGTATTTATTTTTTATAACAAACAGGCCGAACCAACAGTTGAAAAACAAACAATACTCATTTTTCGTTACGCGATGATGTGATAAATAGAGTAGTTTTACGTAAGCTCGTTGCAAAAAAGTATAACACGTAGAAAATTAATCTGTGTGCTAAAAGATACATGTGTTATTATAGACTTAATTAGCCTTAATCAGCTTTGTACATGTCAAACTATTTTGATATATCGGCTAGGTTAAATGGTGGCCCAGACAGAGGATTTTTCTTTCTCTTCGAGTGACTTCTTTGTTGTCAATCACTAACTGCAATTTGTAGCATTTATTAACGGAGTAAAATATGTGTCTATACATTTTAGACTATGCTCTAGAGGATGGCACTACTGAGTTTGTCAAATGACGACTTCAAACTCCTGGTCACTGAAGTTACACGTTACGTATTTTAGCCGAATGATACTACATAATGATAAATCAATCTTCTCTTTTACTAATACACTATTAGTAAGTTTATCCGACACCTGACTCATACAAAACTCTTTAATTGAGAGAAAATGACGATTGTGACAATTACTTTATCATACTCATCCATCTTTCAATAAGCGTATTGCGCTACGCGTTTTGCTAACACTAGGTTGTTTCTAATGCGATCTCATCCGCAAATTTACTTACACATATATTCCGCCTTATCAGCACTCAAACAACGTTGTTCATTTTCTTCTGCAATGACTTTGTCGCATAGCGTAATTTTATATACACCATTGATATATTCTTGTTCTAATTTGTCTTGTACATATTCATCATGAGTGGTGAGAGATATCCTCCTATAACATGGAAATGATGTGCACATTCTAAATATTTCTTGGTTTTGATCATATGCGATGCATGAGTGCGGTGAACAAGATTCAGTGCATTCGTCTTAATCAATATAACATTTTCGTTACGCGCTGTGCTACGATTCAGATTCGAGTAAAGAACAGATAGATTGCTCGTCGATTCGGAGTTCATATTTCGAATCGAACTGAAGATTCGGTAATCACAATGAGCAACTTTCCTCATACATAACTCAACTTAAAAATGATGTCCTTCTCGTCTGGATCATCCCACAAAGGCATCTGTTTCCATATTGTTGACATGACTCACATTGCCAACATTGTGGTCATGAGCATAGAGAACAGAAAAATTTCCATTTTATATATTTTTATTGCGCTATACGACATTAAAAACAGTCAGAGGGCATAAGTCAATATGTTTAGAAGCCATACATCACTTACGAGATTAAATTCGGTAATTTTGTCTTTTTCAATGTTTCTTTTATTTAGATGCTCTTAAATCTTGTAAGATCGTGTGACTAAAGTGAACGAACAGAAAAAACGAGGACATGAGTTTACATATAACTGCACATAGAATAAAATTTTCCCTTGAGAGCGTTCAGTTATGCTACATTTCTGAATTCGAATGCAAACCAATTGAAATTTTTATTTTGTCATGCTGAAAATGAAAAAACCAACGAATAGAATATTATTTATCGTCAGAAACTTCGCTTCCAGATATAATATTCTTGAAAATACTGTTTTTCCACTCGTTGTGGAATACAAACCAAATGTTGCTGAAAGCGTAGCGAATCGGTCCGTTCGAGCCCATCATCTTCAAATGAAGTACATCACGAAAGGCATAGACGATGTCTTCAACATCATTTCCAAAAGCACCAGTGCCAATGGGCCCAAGTAAAAGGTAAGTATTTGAACCATTACCTCTCGTATTTGCAACGGCTGCCACCATAAATGCCCGAAATGTAGCCAGTGTTTTTTCCGGCCACTAAATTGAATCAAAACTAGTTTAAAAAAAAAGATTAATATTATTAGTGTTGATGAAGTTTTATTCAAAGGAAAACAGTAGATGGTGACATCCGGTAAGGTACTGGAATCTACCGTTTTCATTTGAATTGCGTGTGATTGTTAGTGTCAAAAGTATTTTCAAAAAAATACGCAATTACCTCTGTAGAAGTTTTCGGATTGTTATAAAGTTCTCGTGATGGCAGGCAATAACAAGCAGAAACCATCATATCGGCTAGACGCCATTCATCAGTGTCTTGGCGAAAGAAGCGAATGTCGCGTACATAGGCCAGCCCAAATTCTGGTACGGCATAGCCACTACCCATGCGTCCGTATTTAAGATCGAGCAATGCTCGATAACCGTCAGAATTGTAGAGTAGAAGTTCTTCCTATCCTCCTGAGCAAGAAAAATGGCATGATTCTACACTAAATCAAACTACAGATAAAATGTTTGCTACTGACTTACGTTTCTTAAATAGCCACCACCAGGCGATTGTTCATTCTAAAATTTTCAGAAATAATCGATAATAATGGACTTCATAAACTACTTACAGCAAAGCTTAAGACAATAATATGAGCACCCTCAGGCACATCAAAGACTGCCTTTTGAATTTCATTATTCATGTAAGTTATTTTGCCAGTGTGCTTTCGTTCTGAAACGGGAAACTGGTGAAGAGTCTCAACCACATCGCTGTCCGATGGATCATGAGTTGGCAACGATGCATCTTGTTGTATATCATTCGAGCAAAGAATTTCAAGTTGTTCTGCATTCCAATAAACTTTTAATTCATGAGATTGAAAGCCATCCGTACGAAAGTGAGATTTATTTAGCCACGAGATCGTTCTATATTAGGATGTACCTACGTAAATAATCAACATTATGCTACGAAAAACAATCAATAACGTTTTTGTTTTTCCGTTCTTCTCAGAAGTGTATATTTGAGTGGAACTATTTTCTTTAATACTAAACAAAGTCTTATGTAGTTTATACGTAGAGTGCTAAAAACAAAGAAACACAAGCACAGAAACGTGCAAAACTTCATTCTTTTGTGAAACTTGAAGTAATTTCAACAGTAAAGTGTGAAAAAGAGTTTTTATCAACTGTATATGCATATGAAAAGTAGAAAAACTAGCATTCATCGTTCGGATGATATTGGAGAAATATCACGCTTCAAATATGAGGTACGTTCAGATTTTCAAAAAAAAGAAAATTTCCAATATTATCAACACACACAAGAGAAGTTGCCCAAATTACGGCAAATGCATGAATAAGTTTGGAAATTTCGGTAAGTACCTTTTTTATTGAAAATCTGAGCATTGCTGTCAAGTATGTTGAGACTACTATCTGTCTAAAAATCAAATAAGCAAGAACTGCTTTGCCGTTGAAATCAACAGAACAACTTATTGCCTTCATTTTCAACTCAAAATAAGGTTATGCATGTTTGTTGTCATAACATGATGACCTAGTATCAGTTTTTGTACTGATCATATCTTCATAATATATTCTTCGCAGTCCATCCCAATCGGGTTTGACGTTATTACCAGAACGATCCCGGTATACTATCCATCGGCGAACATCTTCGGCATACCGAACAGTCTGTTTGTTCATTGTATCCTTGTTCTTCTCGATCTCTTTCAGTCTGTCATTGAGTGCGTCGACTGTGGTCTGAATTCAATCTCGTACCATCAAGCGCAGTGAAAAGTATATAACAGACAGTTGCTTTAGTTAAGGATGCCAAAGGTACATAGAAAGATAATGGATCCGGCATTGATGTATAATTTAATTCACGCTTGAATTTTTTAGCTAAATACGTGACCATGATCAATATAGATTAGTCCGTTCACCTGATTTTTGTAGGCTTCTAACGATTAATCTGAAAACAAAATAATTCTATTTTCGACAAAGATAAAATACATGATTTGTTCGATCAAAGAATTATTCGTCGTGCTGCACACCTCTTATTATTATGGCACAAACAATTGTCACAATTCTTTAACTTACAGTTGCTGAAATCTGTAACTGTCACTTCAACAATCGACAACCTTCTCGTTCCAAAATCTTTCTTTCTGCCATGTCTCACACGAAACGAAATTTGCCTGCCTACTGTCATTTTTTCCCTTTCTTTTATTGATTGACGTCTGAGTAGCAGCACTCTGATTCACAGTTACAAGCACATAATACAATTTCATGCATGAGACACATACAAAAGATTTTTTGATTGCATTTTAGCATGTCCTAATTTGACTATTGATTTTTTCCGTTTGTTGTGCAAGTCTATGCCAGAAGCTATTTTAGATGTGATTCATTGATTGTTGAAATTTTGTTTTCTATCACTTTTTATTTATCAGCTTACTTTTGTACGTAAGAATTCAGACGATATGATGACAGTCAAAATATGAAAAATTCAATCGGTTTTTGAAGGGAAATGCAGTAAAGTAACTTCAACATTCGATCACAATATTTGTTGAGAACATTAGGAGATCAACATTGTTTATAGTAGATTCACATTTGTCGGCTTTAAGATAGACATCACAAATGGATACGTTATCATACTCATACGAGGCTAGAAATATATCTATTGAAGTGTCTGTTCCAGACAACGCAAAGCTTTGCAAGACATAGAGAAAAACTGCGCTAAGAAAAGATGGCAATAACCAGTGATATGCAAAACGATATTTCTAGATTGTCAGGTTAGTTCTATGAGATAGTCTTTGCATGGTTAGTTATTCATTGTGAATAGATCAAGCATGAAAATGAATGATATGTAAATGAAGGTGTTCTGTTTATACTCTACAAACGGATTCGAATGCCCTCTACCCGACACTCATACATTTTGAGTGCATCTCCTTTCTAGCACAAAGTAATTTCATTTCTTAACTTTTGTTTTGTCACCGCGTATGACTACAGGACACTGTTAATTCATATATTTTCATTAAAATATATCCAATTTAGGATGTAGGTGACGTCTGAGTAAAAAGACAACGTACATCCATACCTATCCTTCATGCTTACCATCACACCCAAACTCCTAGGGTAGATCATAGGCACGATGTGATCATCGATCTATATAGGAATTTGTATATTTTCAACGTACGAGTGCACAAAATGAAATGATAGAGATACGTGTTCGTGTGATAGATGACAGTTCAAATTTAATAATCGATTTTGATATTTCATGGAGCTTAGCTTTTGTATGAATCAGTATAGGTTTTATTAGTATATGAACATCAAATTTTGTAAAAAAAAGCAGTATTTTGTTTTCAGATCATTTTTATCTTTGTATATTCTAAGATGTTGATGTACTGCTACTGCCACTATTTTCTATACGTTTGATTGATGTTTCAACTATCCAAAGATCAAGTTGATCAGGTCTCCCAGATGCATGATGGATTTCACGTGCTTTTATAAAATGTTCTAATGCCACATCATTCTTCATCAGTATTGTATAAACTGAACCAAGACTACTATAAGTTAACGCCAAATCTTGATGATTTTCTGGTAATGATTTTTGAAGTATTTCTAATGCTTGCTGCATGAATTCTAACCCTTTATCAAACATTTTTAATGCAACATAACAATGTCCCATTTGAAATAATGTACGTCCAATATCTGGATGATCACTAGGTAATTGTCTCTTTTGTATAGTTAATGCTTTTGTATAATCCATTAAAGTTAAATCATCGTGCTTATTTTTCGTGTTTACATGTGCGCGTAGTATATGAATCTCACAATTTTCATTTTCATCAAATAATTGCTTACGTGTTGTTTCTAATTCTTGAATTAATTTTGGATCTGTAATTTCTTTTGTTTGATTTTGTAAGCCTTGCATTGCTTCCACTTGATGTTTTTGTTGAAGTTCACTATTCTTTTTTCGATTGAAAACTTTACTTAAACCAGCATGACATAATACAATATCCTCTGGTCTACGACGATATTTCAAATGTAATTTAAAATATCTTTCACTTCGATCATAATCACCAAGACGATAAAATAATTCGGCAAGATTATAATCAGATGGATTTTCACCAACAATTTCTTTTTCTTCGTGTTCATATAATTGTCTATAATCTTGATCATTTTCAGTACAAGTATTTAATGATATTATCCAAATTTTTTCTGTTACATTAAACTCCACTTTAATAATTCGAAAGACACTACCTAACATAAATAATGTTTCATTTTCATCTTTAAAAACACTGAATTTACTAATATCAGCGTATGGTTTCAGATTTTTAGCATTTTTATCCACAGTAACTTCGAACAGTGTTGCTATAAGATCATCACTACTTATACCTGCAAATCCAAGTGCAACTTTTCGATCTACACTAGTTGATAGAAATGAATTAGTTGACAAGAATTCATTTGTTGAATTTTGTAAACGTTCAAATTCTTTTTTACTAATTTTTTGTCCACGATAAAATTTAAGTTGTTCATCAGCAGTAGTAGAAGTACTTTGAGAAATATTTTCTTTTAGTAATTGTTTATAAATATCTGCTATAAACCAACTAAATGCCGTTATTAAGTCGACGTTTTTCAGACGTAATGCTTTATTCAATAGATGATAGATGGGTGTTTCTTTTGTATACCATTTAATAGCATCGTCTGGAGAATATGTCTTTTCAAAGTCTTCTAATTTACGTAGTTCATTTTTATCATCTTTATAAAGACGTTTACAATATTGAATTAAATTTGCTTTCGCTTGTTCTCGATGATAGTTCATTCGTAGTAAAATTGCAATATATAATTGAAACCATAGAAAGTTACCATTTTCAGTTCGAAGATCAGATGTAGACGATTGTTCTGTACGATTGAAGATTGTAAGAATTTTTGTTGCATCAGTGTCATGACTGTTGTAAATATTAATTGATAGAGAATCAAATAGTCTTCGTTTCCGTCCATTTAATTCTTCTCCAATTTTATTAAATAATTCTTCGACAGTATGACAAATGGCTCTAATCTAATAAACAAAAGTTGTTAGCGCAATTGCTGGAAGACTAAAACGTGAAACACTATCTAACTCCTGTTGATAATCATTTTGAAAGTGTTTTCTCTGATGTATGCTTGAACTCTTTTTCTTGATCTTCTTCATAGCCTCATGGAGCCTGTCTATCATAGTCTATGTTGATTTACTAATGAAATGTTAATTAGAAAATCACTAATTAGATGACTTGTCTATGGAGGTCTGTGGGAGGGGGATGGGTGGGGAGGGAGGTCAAAATGTCTATCCGAAATACTTTAACATCCCGTTCAGATCATATTTCACCAAAGAAATTGAATAATTTAGAACGTCAAATCTTCTCAAAAGACACAGCTAAGTATTGGATGCTTGCCGAGTTCACAGTTTGGCTATGGTTAGGACTTAGTCAAATTAAGAAAATCCTAAAAGAATTTGAATCAAAGGCGTGTCGTAACCAGTGCCCAAAATGGGTTAATTTTTAGTAATCCTACTCGAGGTCAAAAATAGTTTTTGAGCAATCAAAGCGAGATTTTCTGGACACCAACAATTCTTCCAGTGAATCGATACAAATTCTCTCGATATTCGAAATCGGTTCATTTTTTGTGACCCGATCCAAGGCGAAGTATTTTTTTTGTGATTGTATCCAACTTAACCCAAGGAGGAGACTATTCTAGATAAAACTTTGATTGTCACTAGGATGTGAAAAAGTACCGCTTTTTACATTTTCCTCGATTTTTTAACTATGCCAGCATGCTATTGAACCGAAATGTGAGACATTGCTCCTCATCTAGTTGCTAATGCCTCTGATGTTATAAGGACAGCGTCTCTCTTTATTTGAAATAAGAGATGAATTGATCTTCACAACGAAAAAGCATAACCCCGAACATTGCAGATAGATTCGCCATCAAAAGAGGCAACGCAAAAATACGAAGATGTCAAATCAGATAAAACTTGAATGTAAAGAAAAGAAAGGAAATATTGGAGAAAGATAACGCATGCATTCATCTTCTAATATAAAACCTATTAGAACTTGTTTTTACTCTTACTCAATGCTACTTAAAACAGAGTTACAAACAGTTGAGAATATTCGGAACTGATCCAGTTTAGCTGGTGCCAAAAAGGTTTTTTGATCGATGAGTGTCAGCAGGCTTCATAGATTACTTTTAATCGATTGAAGAAAGCTGCTTTAAAAATCATTCAGTTTTCTTTTTTTGTTGCTATTTTTAAAAGAAAATATTATGCCCTAGTTATTTATATTTTTAAGCGTTTCTAAAATTTTACCCGCAAAACATCAACAAAATAAGTTGATATGTTCATCAGAAAGAATAGAGTTTTGATGTGCACTTCACAAGGCACAGTAATGGATGATCAAAGCGAAACTTCCCAGCTAGTCTTATTATTTCTTTAAAAAACCTTGACTAGATAATGGTCTTACTTTCACACATTCCTCCATCCATTTGTCTTTTTTATTCTCTTCTTCTTCTTCTTCTTGTGGAGTCCAGCCTAGGTAAATACTAATTACATGATCCAAGTCATGAAGACCTTTCACCAGAGCTTTTGACTCTGAATATTCACAAATAACAAGTATAAAAGTTTCATCATGATTTTCATCTTGAGTAATATAATTAATATATCGATCAGTAGTGTGAAAGAATCTAATATTTGCAGAATCGCTATCATTTATATCTTGAAATTGACTTTTATCACTGTTATAATCTAGAAACCAGGCAATCGTTACTTTCTTCATTTTCCTTGAATTCAAATCTAAACATGAAAATATCTACAGTCAATTAGTGTTTCTTTTTAATAGGTCTGTCTAATCTGTCACATTTCATATCATTTGCTTCAAATTAATAGGTGAAAGAAAAGTATTCGATAAGATCTTGGCTCTTTTTCAAGTTTTATAACAAAACTTATAGTCAACAATAATGTGGGCATTATCAGTGACAAAGATAAGAAAATATTTTAGAATAACTGATGTGTTGGAGACACGAATACTGACTCTACCGTATCTACAGAATTCCTCGTGTAATTTTAGGATATTGAGAATTATTAAATTTATAGCAAAACATACTAAGGGATGGAGATGACTTTTGATAGCAAAATTAGTCCTATTTAAAAGCTAAAAGGAACTGTTGATTATCGTATGCAATAATATACATGTCGAAAAGATTGGATCTTGTATGGAATAGTTTATTGTAATGCTCTTTCCTAAGAAGAACTAATACTAAATCTATTATTTAGGAAACAATCTTACCATAGTATCTCATATAATAGCTAAACCGTCTTGATTATGTGCATCATTGAATCAGTCTGAAAGACCTCTGTACATTGGGATTAAATGATATCTTAAATGAACACAGTTCAAAATATTGAAAAACAGTATTATTTTCACCCTCGATTACTCTTTTGAAAAGGACTTTAGCTTATGCCACACCTACTGGCCATCCAAAACACTTTTCTTTGTCTACCTCTTGCTTACCAGACATGGCAGCAGACGACTTTTTCGAAAGTGATTTTTCCTTTAATTTATCATAATAACTTGTTGAATCAGTTGATGGTAATCGATGATAAACATCATGGATTGAATAGGTTCGTCGCTTTATGTTGTCATTGGTCTTATAGATAGGTATTGTGATATCATAGTTAAGAGAAGAAAGATCATGAGTACGAGAATGTTGTGTTGACGACATCTGCTGTCTTTGATAATGTTTTATTTCGCCATAAATTGAAGTTACATAAAAGACAAAATTTATGATAGTGTTCTCTTGAGATCTTTATCGCGCACTCAAAAAAAAAACGTGCCACAGCAGTTGTATTATTAGATGTATGATGAAGAAAATAAAAAGAAACCTATCGTCAATACAATATCACACAATTTTCTGCTTTCTATGCACACGGTAATGCAACTCTATTTCTCATTGTAGAAGGAGAGTGTAAATGTGAGTGTGGCTGAAGAAAATACTTGCAGCCAAATCAGATGTAATCTTCGTACTGAGACAGAAATTTAGAAAAAAAACTCAATGTAGAATTTCATCTTCATTTATATCTATCTGTCTAATTTCAAAATTGATAAAATCTACTAAGTAATATTAACTGATGAGAAAAAGAAATTTCATTTTGATTTTGCTTAAAAATTTTGTTTCTCATAAGATCCATTAAATTTTCATAAGGACTCTCATGAATAGATGACTATTTATCGAAGTGTATGAAAAGAGAAGAAAAATTGTTTTATGGATGTGGATGTGAATGTGGGTGTGAACTTCATTCGGTATTGCTGACTAGGGTAAATCCACCAACATCGACACAATTACAGTCCACATCCTCACTTTCACTACTTTGTCATCATTTTTACCATTGCATCACTCTTACCATCTGAAGGGTCACAAAAATGATTCAAGTCGCCAAGACTATGGCCCCAACGACCATACCTGTGACCATTTGTAATATCTTTGCGGTTAGTTATACCACGTATTACAGATGGACAGACAGACACAGGTGAATTTCTATTTCTAGACACTATCCTTTCAGCATAGGGAACAAATAAATCATTGTAATATAGTTTTTGATTTGTTCCGCAATTTATGAATCCTTAAATAAATAGCGAATGCCCTCTGTACGAACAATGAGAAGAATAGAACAAGAAATTTTATTTTTGATCCCATGATAAGGTTAGATCGGTTGAAAGGAACACTTAGGTGTTACCAATACTTTTTTCTATGATCATGACTAATCGGCACAAGGAGAATATCATTTGGATTAGGTAAAATAACGTGAAAGAGCAAGAAAAACAAATATTTGTTCTCATTCATATGATCAGACCGAGGTAGCAATCATTTTATTACTATCGATCAACCGTCAGCATCATCCATACATTGCCCTTGCTCACTCACTACTCCCTTGCGAGCAATCAATACAACAGTAAATTATTACTCTTATCGGATGTCTTGGCTACTGTTACTCTTAATTACTTTTATTACTAAAGCGTATGCCATCGATTTATATACTCCATGGATAATCTCCGGTGGTCCAACATTATGCTTCCTATAAGTTCAACGTCCTTCAACATCTTACCAGCATCTCGCCTTATTTTGAATCTAACTCTGACGGACTAAACCCTGACCCTCTTCAAGGTTGCAAAGTTGTCAAAGCAGTCTATCTCGTGCGTCACGGCTCTATCTACGTGAACGACAATCATTACCTGTTGACAATCGAACCATTTTTGCAACGTCTCAAGAACTCGTCTTATTACGCTGACTTTTCCAATTCGACAGACTTAGCCTTCTTAACTCACTGGACCTCACCCATCTCGAATAGTGATGAACAAATAGAAAAACTTGCCAAACTCGGATTTCTCGAATCATTTAACTTTGGCACTCGCCTCGCACACCGATATGCAGATTTACTACCCGTGAAAAACGATGCGTCTTTCAAAGTCTGGGCATCACATTCGAGATGGGTGA